GGGCACCGGCTTCCCCGGGCCCCCCCCCGGCCCCAGCCAGCCGTGCCTGGGCATGGCCAGCCCCCAAGGGACCAGTGCTGCATCTGCCCCAGCGGCGCTGCCAGCAGCCCAGCAGCGCAGGCACCAGGCTCTGCCCGCTCCCCCGGTACCATGGTGGCCCTAACTTCTCGCAGGACCTTCCTACAAAGCCTTGGGGCCCCCTCTTCCACTCCAGCTCTGGGCTGCCAAGGAAGCCACTGCCCCACAGGCCTGCCTGGGTGGGGTGCCCATGCCCCTACAGACCAAGCTGCAAGGTGCAGAGCCCAGGAGGGGACCTGCTCAGGAAGGAGCTGCCTGAACTGGGCAGGGAGGGGGCAGCTGAGGCCACCGTTCTGTTCACGGGACAGCCCCCACCCCGTGCTGGGCCTTACCCCCCGGCGTGGTGGAGTAGACAGAGCCACCCGGCGTGGAGCTGTAGCCCTCCGGGACGGGGAGATGGTGGCTGCCCGGGACGGGGCAGGAGGAGGTGGCTGTGCCTCTGGCAGCCATGGAGCCCGTGTGGGTGGGGTGGAGGGAGGGGCCCAGGGCCCTCCCCCCGGCCCTCCCCCCAGGAGCAAGCCACTATCACCCTACAATACCCTTTATTTTCAACACAATTACTGTTAACCCAAGTGTTTCTCCTTTGGCATTTGCACTATCGGGGGAGGTGGCAACAGTTCCACGCTTTTTGCATTTCTTCCTCAAATACCGCGCCTGAGCATCTCGCCCAGGAGCCCGAGGCGCGCTTGCCTGCGCTGCTCAGGCGTGCCTGGGCACTCCGGGTTCTCAGCGCTCCTTCCTCATGCTTCTCCTGGGGAAACTCTGCTGCTGCACATAAGGGTTTGTCTGGAGAAGGTGGAGGAAGGTGGAGAAGTCTCCATCTGGTCTGAGGGACCACGGAACACGGTCCATTGGACTGGGTGCTATGTGCACCGCAGTCACCCACCTGAGGAACCAGCCACGCGTTCAGTGTGTGACTGCAGCGCCACTGAGCAAAAGCAGAAATAAGCACAAGTGCGGAAAGCGCAGAACTCCTGCACCGCGCTGGAGAACCAACATCCATCTTAAGCTGTAAGCAGAAATCCCCTTCTCTCTTGGGACAGGACTTGAGGAGCTCTTACCAGATTTAAAAGGGTTACAAGCAGCTCAGAACTGAATATATTACATTTTTCTCTAGTGGGAAGTGGTCTCTGCTTTCCTGAGATCTGCTTCTGGGCAGCTGGTCACAGCGAGTCGGTGACGAAACCTGCACTTACCTACAAGCTACCTATTTACCTTCTGCAAATTAAGATTCCATCAGTTGCCACGTTGTCAACTCAGCCCTTATTTCCAGCCCTGAACAAAACCTGATCTCTCAGGCAACCCACCTGGAAAAAGAGTGCTAGAAGCGGCAGAACTAATCCAAAAGGGAAAAAAAACCAAAAAAACAAAAAAACCACAACCGTGTTCACACAAAACGTAAAAGGGTGAGAACTGGCAGGGGGGCAGGACCCAGCAGACCTCATATCGCTGACGACTGCGGATCAAAACCCTCCCCCAGGCCCTGACTGCATCCACGTGCTAACTACGTGACCCTGACAAGAGGCATCCCTGGGCACGGCAGCAGCTACCGATGACAGCAACATACAGCTTCTTCCAAAATTCTCACACACAACCTATAAATACTGTTCGCCTTTTATTGAATATTCAGGTAAATATTTCACATTAATACAGGCTACATAAAGTAGAGCCACTATACGACATGAAATTTACTCAGCTTTTCCTTTTAAGTATGTAAACAATTACACATGGATTTACTGCCCTAGAAGGTTGAAATCAAGTATTGAGCTAGTTCTCTGCTGCGTACAAGGAGCATCCAGCAGTGTTTAGCCAAAAGCACTAGTTTCATCTGATTTTTAAATTCCAAATGGCTAAACTAACTGGAGAACAGAATCAGTTTGTATAGGTAAATCAATTTGTTCTTATACAACGGGCAATCAAGTTTCCATTGTTACAGCCCACAGAAAATTGCTTAGTTAGGCACATTAAAAAATCCCCAGGGTTCTTCAAGATCATAAAGATTCCCAAACAAGGCTAAAAAAGGAAAGACCCCCTTAAATCAGTTGACGTACTTGAGATGCATGTTTCCAATGTGAGGTGCCCAGGTGCCAGGCCAAATCTACAGCAAGAAATAAAAAGACAAGTCTATTACGAAAACAAATAAAGGTTCCTTTAACAGAGCGTTTAACCACTAGAGGGCAAACTTAAGGCTTCCCCCAACATACGACCAGACCATCCAAAGGCTAGGAGCCCTCTTCAGCTCTGGCCAAGGTTTGACTGACAACCTGCAAGATGCCGAGTACGGATACAAACCCTGCGACTTTGGCAAAGTGGATTACCTGGCTGAGCAGTCTTGAAATGCCGCTTATTTCACCTGAAACATTTGGTATGGTTCTGGCACCATATATTTTTTATCAACACACACACTGCAGGGGGAGAGTCATGCAAAGGATCTCAATTCTAGTATCAAAGAACTGCAAAAACGTCACCTATCCAAAACTGGAGAAAACCAAAACAAAGCACAACACCGTAAAAAGCCCCAGGCGAGCCAAGGTGGAGAAAGGCAGCCACACTACCTGCTGAGCGTCGGTACATTCTGTTGAGTTCTGGACAACTTTGATCATGGGATTCCAGGCGGGGTCTGGAGTATGGAGCCCGTTGAAGAGGGGCCCTCCCGGTCCATCCGCTAGCTGGGGGTGCGAGGGTATTAGAGTGCCACCATACATCGAAATCGGGAGGCCCTGAGGGAACAAGAGAAAGCGACAGTGGTGAAGAAAGCAGCGTTGTGAAGGACGACCGTAGCACCAGGTTTGCCAAGATGACGTGGGTAGTTCACACCCATAGGCAACGTTCACCTCCAGGCAAATATCTCAGCACTGTGAGGAGAAGGGGGCACCGCTGCACACCTAGGCAGAGCATGGAACACAGTGACTCACCAGAGCCTGAGATTCAAGCCAGTTTACCCATTTTTCTGAAATTACACCTCGCCAGTATGCAGCAGCCCCTGCACAGCGCTTTCAGATGCCCGCATAAAGCCAGACCCCGCAGCTGTACAAACTGATCTCGGTGCTCCCTCCTCTGACCTCTGCAGCACCCAGCAACCTTGGTGCACAGAGGGCTGCAGCCCATCTACAGCTTGAGCCTACAAGACTCCAAGCCGAAGATTTTCTATAAATTACTAATGGCCATCTGAAATATTCTTCCAGTTTGGAAAAAGCAAGTTACAGAGCAGTTTTTTGCAATTATGAGGTTTCTTTCCTGGATTTGAATGATTGCTGCTCTGCAATTTAGAGGATCCCAAGGGCACATGCTACAGCTGCTTCTGAAACGTGCTGTGAGTAGGTCTGCTGTTGAGCACACCATCCTGAACGTTCCTCCAGTGGTGGCTGAGCTGGCCCCAGCTTGGCTACGTCCGTCTGCCTGAAGCTCCTTTCCAGCTTTAACACACAAGGCACAGACTTACAAGCGGTCCTCTCATCCCACCGCTTCCTTCAGGCACGCCCGTGGTACTCGCAGGCACGATTTGTGCTGAAAGCTTTAAGCAAACCTTTAACCAGGTTCAAGAGCTGAGCAAGCCTCATGAAACATTTCCAAACGACTGAGCCTCTGAGAAATGAAACACTGGCAAGTAGTGGAGGCACTCAGCTGCTTGACGAGAGAAAATCTGCAATCTGCAAGTTCTGGGTTTGTTTAAATGCACCACCAGGCTTGGGCACCTTTTCTAGTCAGCACTGGGATGAAAGGAGGTTCAGGACTAGGCACGGCAAGCAGTGGTAGAAGAGGCAGACACGTACAGGGTAAACAGGCAGAACAGGAGACACAAAGTCAGTCCTTGATCATTTTATAGCTTAAATCCAACCCTCTGTAACTTACTTTAGAAAAATCCACAAAACTATTTGGCATAGGTTGGTGGAAAATATTCGAGGGAGCCACTATTCCAGAATCATCTCTCTCCATTGGCTGATGCTGAGAAAACGTGCCCGGGTCCGACAGCTGCTGATGCATCGGATGATTTCCCATGACAGGCTGCGACCAACCTGACAAGCCTTCTGGAAAGGAGGAGATTGAAGATGGCTGATTACAAATCACTGAAGATACTCCGGAGTAGAATTCAGCAGCGGCACACACCCACATACGTCCCAAGGCTCCCTGAACACACACAACTGCAGTGGTATTTAGGGCTGTGCCGAGCAAAGGCAGGCTTTCCACAGCCTACACAAAACACGAGGATACCTGCAGATTTTAGGCTAATAACCCATTACAGACAACGCAAACAGTCTGATCTGTAGCATCAAGGCCTCGCACAAGGGAGCTGCATCAGGCAACACTACATAAGGCTGGCTACACACACGCGCACCTTGCTCCCCTCCAGCTTCCTCATCCTCACATGTACCACAGGAAGACAGAAAAAAGTTACTCTTATGACAGGGGCAAAACACGGGAACGGTTTTTTTTAAGGGAGTTTGGCCAGGCACGTGCCATCTGCATGTACATCCATTTTGATGCTCTGAACAAGCACGGAGATAACGGGGGCTGCTAGCAGCTGCGCGTTCCAGGTGTCCGCAGCAGAACAGCTGAGATCCGATAAACGCCCCAGCACTGTCTGTGAGCACACACAAGCTGTTCTTGAAAACACACAGCAATGCTGAGACACTAAGGTAGCTGAAGTACAGAGGGCTTCGTTGGAAACATAACACACAGGACTACTAAACATTGGTCTTTAAAGTTACCAGTGGGAATGCTTTACACCTCAAACACTGCAGCTCTTCCTTTCCACAAGACCCTCAAACTATCAGGAAACCAAACATAAAACCTCAGCTGTCTCAAAGTCATTCTTCCGAAACTGGGGCTGCCTGGAACAGAAGTTAGCCCATACTGTTCAAGCGTCATGAGGAGATCAGTGCAAAAACCAGCACCCACAGCTATGTGTTTCGGGTTGCGTTAGCTGCAGCACGACATTTTGAACTGTTAATGAAAAACAAGCCAGAAACTTGGCCTAAAAGGACGACTGCCTCCACCCCAGGGTCAGACTTGGAAATGGACCCCCTTAAGAGGTAAAGAGTTGTTTACTTTCAAAGTCCTGTATCATTCAATAGACTTAATGTGAAGTTTCTGAACAACTGTTCTCAGGGTTTACAAGTGTACGCCGACAGATAAGCTAGGTTGGGTGAGAGCCACCGACATTAGGAGAGAAATCCACAGCGCTTCCATTGATCTGCACCCTCCCACCACTGATGCCCGCCTTCCCTGCAGGACGTGAGAGTTGATTAGAGACTTTATTCCTCCTCCCCAGCTTTCTTTGCACATGTAACACTTCTGAAAGGCCCTAGAAGCTTCTTTAGGCTCCCCCAGGCTGCACAACACTTACCAGACACGCTGTTAACGCCAAAGGACCAAATGCCGCTGTGACCGACGGGAGCTGTGAAGTTGGTTCCTAAGGGCGTAGGAGTGACCGATCCTCCCTGTCGAATTCTAGCAAGCCTTTCTGTCCCGATGGGAGGGGGTACCTTTCGATCTTGATTGGCGTTACCCGTTTTTGGCTGGCCCAAGTTAGAAGGTGCAGAAGCAGCTGAAAGGGGCGAAGATGATCCTGAGGAAACTGATGGAATAGGAGATTCACCTGCTGAAAAGAGTATTTCCCTTGCTTAATTACACACAAAGCACCCACGCTAGTGAGCTTAAGTGCTACCCCGCTCTAAGCCCCCAAGCAAACAATAAAAAGGTTTTAAAGGCTTTTTTTTTGGCAAGCATTCTTCAAGTCTTTCACCGAAATTCTGTTCAGAGTTTATATGAACTCTAAAATCAACATTCTAACACAAATGCTTTCAGCCATCAGAATCACGTGACATTCTCATGACATAGCAGTACCTCTACACTACAAGAAAGAATAAGAAACATGGAAGAGTTTCAGGAAGAGGTGAAAACATCAGCCAAAATACCATAAATATCTGAACAGCTTGGGTTTGGTATCCACCACTTCCAGCAGAAGAGAAATTAGACAGCTTCCCACATGGGTAATGTAGTAAGAGCGTAAGTCCCACCAACTTCAGAAGCGTCACTGACTCCTTCTTGGGAAGTCCCTTGAGCACTCATTAAAGCAATTTTGTTCTTAAGCTCAGAGTGGTAACGAAGTTCATGCAGTGACATGAAAGCCTCTTCACTTAAGGTTCTGAATCAAAGACCCATATTTTCTGTAAAGCTACTTCCATGTTCTTCCCATTAGGAGGAAAACCCACTGTTACCTCAGATGATGCTTAAAGGGTTTGGAACATTTTAAGTAACATGAAATAATTCCAGAATCCCAATTTAAAAAAAAAAAAAAAAAAAAAAAAAAAAAAAAAAAAAAAAAAAAAAAAAAAAAAAAAAAGAAAAAAGGCGAGTATAACTTCAAGCCATGGCAAGCGTGACGTTTTCACCTAACGTTACACTCACACTATTTAGAGGGGAACCTTTAGCTCGGTATAATAACCACCTCCGCTCCCCCACAGCTTCACGCCCTCTCCTCTCAGACCCTACCATGACTGAGTTTTTTGCCCAAACATGCCTTTAGTCATGTTACCAGAACTAGTGGCATTTTACATGGGAAAAAGCACAAAATAGAACAGCTTGGGATTTGCACGCCATCCTCACAGGGGCTAAAAGCAATTGGAAAGCATTTTGTGTATCACTGGGTAATTTCCCCTCCAGTTACAAATCTACTAAAGACAATAGCTATGAGTTTAAACTAAGACAGACCCATGAAGTTCCTACATGAATTTGTTGCGCTTGTCCAAGGATGTGGTGAAAAATGCTGTCTGTTAAAGCTGGGAGTCCCAACAGGCGCTGGCCCTTGAAGGTAAACCCGTGCTCCTTGTATGTTTGCTGAAAAGCCTGTCAAAGGACCTGAAGAAGAAGTTGTAGAGCTGTTGGATGGATCTAGAGAGGGTAAGCCTGAAATAAACATAAATGCGATTAAATATCTCTCTTTGGGAACCTGCTTCAAAGCACCAGAGCGAGCTAGTGCTCCAAATAGAATTAAAGCATCTCATCACCTTCAGGGGTATCTGCACATGGTAAGTTCGTTTTACAGGTGCACGATTCTCCCTTAGAAACCGACAGAAGGCGTTTCTGCACGCCCGCCGCTTTGGCCTGAAGGTTTAGTAAAGACAGCCCTCCCTTTGGTCACTGCAAGGAAATGGTCTGAGCAGGGAGGGCGAAGGAGGAAAGCTGGGAGTGGCGAGGATCTTTGCTTACAAAAAAGCCACGCAAGTCAAACGGGGATACAGGGCTCTGTGAAGTCCCAGGGGAAGCCAGCACCAGGGAAGCAGCTCGCTGCAGCATGGGTTTTGCTGTCATATAGGTACAGTCACATATAGATCGGTTAGAGCATGCTGTGTCCAGCACAGCACAACAGTGAGGGGGCGGCTTCCTACAGGGACGCGTGAGAGGAAGGGAGGGATGGAGAGAAAGTTCAAAGTCCCACAGAAATGATTAGCAAGGGGGAATTACAGTTTTTTAATAAGGCAAAGCTTTTAAGTACTTCTCCAAAATGTAAAAGCTCTTATCACACGTTATTACCTGAAAGCAGAAACAGGCATGGCCATATGTTCACCTGAGTTTTGGGTTTAGTTTCAAGGGCCTATTAAACAAGACTAGTTTCAAAACCATTTAAACATTTGGAAATGACCACAACCAGGACCAGCCTATATTGCTGCAGAGCAAGGTTGAAGGTTGTACCTACGTCCAGCCCAGCAGCCTGCCAGCAGCAGCGCTGACAGGCAACGCTCTAGGTCCTAGACCAGAGGTGCGCCTTTCGTTGCCTGGATAGGCTCCTGAGAGCTAGGTCTTCCCCCCCCAGTATTACCAACCAAGTCAACCTGATTTACTGCTTCCAGAAGTGCCAGATCCAGCCTGCTCACGCTGACAGCAATGACTCGCTGGATTTGAAGGAGGTATTTTTCTCACTAGCCCTACCCCAAAGGTTAAAAAAAGAGAAGTCTCCATGGCAGACAAGGAGAAATAAATCCCCACCAGAACACGGGGTGCTCCGACGAGGGAACCTGAGCATGGGAGGACGATCTTTCAGGGTTCGTCACAACACAAAGTGCAGGACTCAGCGGCTACGAGGAGGATGCCAACACCCATGCAGGCTGCGGGTAAACGCAGTTTGACTGATCTGCGTCTGCTGGGAGCTGCAGCCTGGCCCCTGGCACGGAGCCGAGCTGTAAGCAGACTGCAGCACCTCCGGCTGAGGGCCCTCCCTGTGCACCTGCCCCGGAGACGGGACGCTCTTGTAACCCTCCGTCCACAAAAGTCAGCTCAGGGCTAGTCAAAAGGCCCCTATGGTGACCGATTCCACCACACAGCAAAAACAAGTTTCCAGCTGGCCAACACACCACCGAAGATCCCGAGGTCTCTGCCCCGTACAGGAGGGGTAAGAGAGCTGCTTGCTGCCCCTGGGGACTGCTGGCTTCCTAAACAGAGAACAAGGCAGAGATTATGACAAAACCAGCTCTTCTGCAGCGAGAGATGCCCAGCTGCATCTTTTGAAGGCTTGGTAGGATGGGTGCACAGCTTTCACAGTGCACTGACTGTACAGCCAAGACCATTTCAGCACCGCTGCATATTTTCTACAGGTTGAAGGAAGGATGCCACCACCAGAGATGCACAAATTCAACACAGCAGTCAGTTTTCAGGTTGTAAAGAACACTTTTTATCATTATCTCGCCTTTCATAAAAGTGGATTAAGAAAACAGCTTCTGCAAACAATGACTTACCGAGTCCTGGTTTCAGTAATGAGTTTCCTATTTATGTACTTACCAACAAAATCAGGTTTTGCAATACCAAACCGTTCCGCAATACCAACCTCTCCAGTTACTCGGGCCATGAATTCAAACCCTTCATAATGCTCTGAAAGCGTAACTGAGCTTTCAAGACTGGTGTACCAACCTCACACAAACTCTGCTCAAAATTCAGCTTATCAAAGCCCCCAGGTGCTTCTGCAGAAGCAGCTGCAGCACCCGGTCACTCCGTGCGCAACAGGGAGCCCAGCCACTTCACTGCAACTGCTTACCCACGTCCTGCTTCCTAAGCCAGCCCATTTCAAGTCTGACGCCTTTTAATGCCAAGGTCTCAAACTCCTTCTTAAAATGCAGAGGAAAAGTAACAAATAGGTGACTTTTGGTCTCCTCCACAGCCTCCCCACACGGCTGGGCTACATCTGCCCTCAGTCTGCAAGCTGCTAGGACAAGATATCTGAAGACACGAGACAACAGGCCATTTCCAGAACAGATCCACAGCCGGCGAGGAGATCTGCGTGTGCATCTGTGCCTCCGAGGAGCTGGTGACTCAGGGAGAACTCAAGCTGCAGCTGAGCTTACGAACAGGAAAAGTAGAGGACTCAAACTCCACCTTGAGGTGACAACTTGTTAGGAAGCAGCTGGTTTAGTGCACCATAGAATTATGTCAAGTCTCCACCAAATCAGCTTAGAGGTGATCACCAAGAGATGACGATTTGTGGAAAAATTTGCCACAGCCCAACCATGCAAGGCAGGCACAAAAGACAAACCTCAGGTCTGCTCCGTCAGGTGGAGTCACAGTCAGGGTTAGAGGATCAGCGTCCGCCTGCTCCAACGGCCACCACCCCTGCCTCTCATCACACACTGAATTGCCAGGCAAAGCCCAGGCTGCTCCTTGTCCATCGCACTGCTGTTGGCCAAAGCCTCAGCCAGCAGCAACTGCTCCTTTCCCCCCTTCTCCAAATCTCATGAAACCTGCCACCAAACCCTATGGAAACAGCCAAGGTAGAACCCCATCCAAACCACCTCGGAGGCTGAGCTGAGCAGAAAGGTCTGTTCCCCTGGGAGGAGCCCGCAAGTGAGACGGGTGGGCAGGCCACAGGACCACGCTTACGTTCCAAGTGAAGGCTGGAGATGCCTCTCAGCCTCCCGTCCCCACTCCACTTCTCACTATCACACCTTCAAAATGCCCCATTCTCCCCAGGCTCCCGTAACCCCCCCTCCATGTGACAGACCTTAGGCCAGGCAGAATTTTTAGCAGCAAATCTACCTATTGGCAGTTTTTCTTTACCTTGCAATATCCTAATCAAATTCCAGCTCAGAAAAAACTGTGTTCTGTCCAAATATTTTTGTGCTTCATTTGAGGATAACTTCACACTGATCTCCCCAAAGTCGACCACATGAGCTCTCCTTGGGCCTTCCTAACTCAGGGCAGAAACAGATACAGACTCCCTTTTGAATACTTACAGCCATTTCAGGGTATATAAAGGACCAAGAATCTTTTCCCCAGTGACAAACAGATGACTTTAGCATAAGGGAACAGCACAATTTTTTTGCTGCTACAGAAGTCCCAGTCAGCCGTCTTTGCATATGCAGGATGCGATCACCAGAAAAATCAGCAGATCCCATTTGCCATAAGCTTCCTTCCCCGGGGGCTGTTCCAGCCACTGCCAAACCCCAGTT